ACTTTGTTGTGTATTTAGGGTTTAGACCTATTATTTTATCAACTATAACTATATGTATATCACGATTCATTTTTTGTTCGATATAATGATAGACCCAGGTTTATTTTTCGTGAAAGAAATAAATAACGATTCATAATTATTTGAGTCTTTGTTCCACAAGATTATTTCTGTGACACCGCTAAATTATTTTCTCACTATATATATATATATGAATTAATTAATAAAACCTTTTCCTTACTGTAAATAGCTTTTCCGATAAGAAAAAATACAAATGAAACTCAAAAAGGATATGAATGAGGAGAGTTTATTGTTCTTTATCAGCAATAATATCAAAATTCATATATTACAGAACTTGAGATCCGAGATTGCCAAAATTTGTCTTATTTTTTATTCTAGAAAGCAATTGTCAGACTGAAAGGTTTAATTTTCGCTGTAAATGATGGAATATACTCAGTGTTTGGCATCTATGTCATATTGGAATTGATTTATGGGGGTAGAGATCTGAAAAATGGTCGGGTAACTTAATTGCTAATGTATTTTTTCTTTTAGAAGGTTCTCAGATTTAGCGGAATGAAACAATATAAATAAACCGGATTTGTGAGGTGGATTAGCAATAACATTGCTCTTATATTTTTTATTGAAAAAGGCATATATATCCACGATTCATTTTCAAGGTATTGTTTCGACCTACAATTGTTTGCAAGGATGACTATGAAAGCGAAACTACTTATTATGAATTTTTATATGTAGGAATGCAAAAATGAGCAGTACTAATGATCCTGATAAACCAAAATCATCTATATTAAAATCGCCTACAAGGTGTGGATTTCTCTCAGTTGAAGTTGGTAAACAAATCCTTTTATTAGCTTCGTTAATAAAAACACGAATAATATGTTGCACTAATATTTTTTTTATGTAGTAGAACCAAGATCTTTGCTAGATGGAATATACATCAGTTTTTGTGTTGGTGATAATGATAATTTTTGTCTAGATACACAAGAACTAAAAGAAAGTCTCGAGTCATAAGTTGCGTGATTTTCCTAATTGTTTCAACCACAAAGTGAAACATGGATGAGATATGTAAAAAAAAAAGCCACTTTCTTAGCTACAGAGTAACCTCACTTCCACAATTCCATATAATTATAGTGAAATTACTAATGCAATAAAGGGGTTATATCTAAATATCGATAACCAAAGAGTCAATCTTGATAATATTATTGGAAATCCGGGACGTCATTAATATCATTAGAAACCAGAACAAAAACAGTAGAGTTATGACTAAATAAGTCGGTGTTGATTCTGGTGGAGAAACTTACTTTGCTAGTGCTGAATAATTGCTCTGTATTAAAATTATAATGGATATATGTTATATATTTTAATAAAGTTTCACATCTAAATTAGTATTGGGACTTTTTATCTTGGTCACTTCGCCTTCGAAAACCTAAATCCTTAGCTCATCAGAAAATCAATCTCCAAACAAATTTTTCCCAATACTGATCCACACTAATGAAATGGCTTATGTGTAAAAAATTTTTTTTCCAATACATAAATAAAAGTTAAAAAAAATGTAAATTGTTATGATGCAAATAAGCTTCTGTATATATGTCCTGGTGATCCATGCAAATATCAATAGACCAAGCCCATCTGTACTATTATAGATTTTGTTATAATTGGATTAGGTATCATTATTGTTTTGGCCGATCCAAGTATAGACTCTGCTAAAATAATCCACACACAGTCATTAACAGATTTATCGCTTGGATGGTCCATTTGTGAGACTCAATATTATCAGAAAGCAATTCTATGATAATAATGCACAAATATCGTGAGGATTAATCTGGCACCATTCATGACCAATTTTCAGCTACAGGACATCATCAAAAATTTATATTTTTCCGATGCACAGTTACACACACTATACCACACCGCATACAGGCATATGTATATAAAGGAGATAAGGCGAAGCTCTATTGTTTTTCAAAGCCATGCAAGCTACAACTATGTATTAAAAGATAAAAATAATTTGCAAGCTGAGTTAAATCCATTATATAAAGCATTTTTTCTAACCTAATTCCAACATCAATATGTATGTATTCATTTTGAAATCTTTTGCTTTTTAGGTCGATTCGGTGTCGATTGGTTCTGTTTTATTGTATGTACTTTTCGCTTTGTAAGCAACTTTTGTTTTTGTTCAATGTATGGACTTCTCTTTTCAATATTTTCTTTCATGAAAGACTGAGCATAAACCGGTGTTAGTAAAAAGCAGTGAATAAATGGACAAAACTTTGTTATACTCACAAAAAATTTAAGACATGTTATAATCGCTTCGCAAAGAATGGGGATATCCTGCCAAATTGCAGGGATCTTGAAAGTTCCATATTCACGAAGACAATATGACTTCTGGTGTATTGTTAACCAAAACAAAGACACTTCAGTGCGATGGCCAAAAGCACTGAAACTTGCAAGGTCTTTGTGATCATATATTCCGTCTTTAAAGCGAAGAATTATTAGTTGGTTTAACACATCTCGCATTGTTCTGACCAATTTATAATCGTGAATGTGTAATTGAGTAATATCATCAAAGTCCGGAGGTCCTGTCTGTTCATATAGGAACACTTCTTCACGGCTTCGCCAGAGACAAGCAAGCCCATCTGCACACTTTGCTTCTAAAACTTTATCAACGATTGGATTTATGTTTGCATTACAACGATCTTTGCTACTTTCTACTGGGACTTCAAGACTATAACAGTGTAATTTCACAAAGTTAACCACCGCAAATGAACATTTTTCTAGGGTGGATAATCAGAACTTACATTCTCCAGTCAATGTTACATATAGTCTTCAGTGTATTCTCTAATATCGGACTTATAAACTGTGCATTGTACTGATTTTCTCGAAGGTCACCCGACTTTAGTATGTTGTGTGGTGCTTCAAAAGCTTTGATACTAAAAAGAATTCAAAATCATGATATTATAACATTCTACTTGCAATTAGTGTTGGTTGCCAAAACTATTTTGAAGAAGTGAAAGTCAAAACTAAAATTAAAAGTTATATGTCAAAACTAAATCGAAAGTAAATAGTCAAAAATCAAAACTAGTTTCGACTTATGGCGAAACCTTTTGATTTTCGCACGGTTGCGAAACTCTCTAATTTTGGAAACCAACACTACTTGCAATAGATAAAGGGTAATAAAATAAAGGAAAACATACTATGTCCCAAGGATATTGTAGATTGCATCTATCAGGTCTTTGAGATCTTTGTTTTTTTTGTTGGTTTCTTCACTATAGAGTTCACGCCAAACCTTTGTCCATTCTTTCAGACTATCCTTTGACTTTTTTTGTCATCGTTAGAAAAATGAGTAACGAAGATAATCAAACCAAAAACATTTCATCTTTCCCAGATTTTATGACATACCTTGAAGAATTCTTGTATAAAACTTTCCCAATCCTTGGGTAGATTATGTTTGGGGTATGTATTTAGCACAAATTTGTTCCAAGATTCTTCTGCAATATCATTTGTGAAGCGTGAAGTAGGTCTCATATCCATAATGTCGCTATGACATAGACTGATAAAAGCCAATAATAATGAGTAGGATTACTATTTTGAGTCCATATCAATTACAGGAGCCGATTCTACTCACTTAAAAATGTTGTTACATTGATTACGGTAATCTATGAAAATCTTCTCCATGTCAATGTCATCTACTGTCAACGGAGTTCTTTCTAATTTACCAACCATTGATTCTACCACTTCTTTCAAATAATTCTCCGAATCTGTAATTCAAACAATTGTGTCAGCCATTTAGCGAACCTGTAGCACACATTCATTTGCAATGTACCACTAGCTATAGAATTTTCTTCCTCATTCCTTTCAATTGTTGTTGATTCTTCATCCTGTAGATTGTTTTCACACTTGATGATTTCAAAAATAATAGTAATAATAATTAATCATTTATAGAGGCCTACCTTGTCCTGCTTTTCTTCATTCTCCGATGTAATATTTTGTTCTGGCGTATGATATTTACTAGATTTTGAATAATCATTCTGTTTTTGACTAAATGTTACAATACCTTTAGTAATTTCTTGATGAACTTTCATTGTCGATTTCACGTGATTTCGAGTTTGGGAAACCTATAGCATAGCATATCAAAAATAGTTGGAATAGACATTGTAAACAACAACATAAAAAACAAAGTGGTACCTTAATACGTTCTATCTCAGCCAACTCAATAGTCTTCTCATGTTCAATCAGCTCCAACTTCTGCTTGACCTGATAACGAGCCTCAATCCCTCGAAAGTAGCCTTTTGTGATTTCTGAGGATTTCCATTTCTGATATCATAAAACAAGAAACAATATAATTAACAAGAAAGGAATATAAAAATCGCCCGATAATACATAAATTCATTGCCTAAAAAGTACACAAGGCCATGGCGAACTAATAGTTCAACACAGGACAACTAATAGATCTCCAGTGTGCCACAGGAGGCTAGAGAGAAGAACAGACTAATAGTCGATCTTCCAGTTGACTAATAGACCTCTGGCTCAGTCCAACATCTCCATTACCTCTTCAGATTTGTATCAACAGAAATAACTAATAGATATTTCATGATGCATACAATCCTATCCTAAACAGATGCTATCTCATACATAATACATCACCTGAAAGTTATTGTACAGATCACTTGCCTTCTGCCGAATACTCTCCTTAGTTGTATTGTTGTTGATAATTCTCTCAAGTCCTTTCTTGATGTAGTCCAGAATCTTCTGTTTATTATTCTCAAAACTCTCACATGATGAGCACCAATTAGCAAATCCTTCAAGGCTCCACAGCTCTGGTGAAATAATTTGTAAATAATCTTC